TACAAGAAGTTCTCTGCGACGCCCAAATATCTGGTATATAACTAAAGACCTCTGCTACACCAGCCTCTCGTAGACCAGACAGGACCAGTGGAGGCTGGGCCGGCTGCGGACGGTGCCAGGACAGCAATTCCCAGAAGCAGGGTCCGATGCCACCGCGATCGTCGCCATACGCGGTTGTGCATCAGCAAAGGATCCGTGTAATGGTGTGTATCACAAATGCTCTATATCAAGAACATGGCGCTCGGAATGCTGTGGGCTAGCCATGCTGAACGAGGCATGATTATGGTGTGTGTCTAGAAGGGCGACCTCCAGTATTCACGCCTGTCCGGTCCAGTCCCACCTCGGAAGATCCGGAAGAACTTCGGAGTGGAAGAAGACTGGGTGACGACCAAGAGAAACCGGTTTATTTTTCCCTTGAGATTTTGTGGGTATGCTTTTCGTTTGGTTGATTTGTTCTTGGTTCGTGATTTTTCTTTTCTAATTTAATTACACGTTTGCTCTTGTGATTTACGGCGCTAGTGAGCTGCTGGAACTTTTTGTGGACCTGTTGTCGTTCGTCCTTGTTGAGCTGGCGGTATCCATCAGATTTGATGAATGTGCCAAGTTCTTCCCGCTCTTTCTTTTGCATGTTGTGCAAGAAGGAGTATTTGGTGCCGCCATGGTCGTCGACGAAGTTCTTAGCAAATTCTCGTGGGTCGCTTAGCTTGGCTCGTGGGTTTTTGAAGACCAGATGGCTCGGTCTCTGTGGTCTCTTATTGTCCACAGTTGTCAGTTCCTTCTTCCTGTATAACTTTGGGCATTACGGCAAGAAACTCACTTACCTAGGAGCATCGACAGAGTCCGTGATGGCATTGGCATCGGTACCTGCGACAGGGGTGTGTTTTAGCGACTGTTGGAGTTTAAGTAACTCCTCTAGAGGCACTTCCATGAAGCACACGATTTTTTAATCCTGGCACGGGGTCAATGGCGCTACCGCTATTGGTCGACGCGTTAAATGCGGCATACAACGTGACCCAAGTAGATCCACAAATACGACAACAGAGTCTAAAGTATCTTGAAGGTGAGAACAAGCCCGAACACAACCTTTATGGAGCCGTGCAACGCACGGGGGGCACAGGCGGGCTAAGGCCCGGGTGTATCCAGTCAACCTGTTTTTACCAAATTGGGTACCCCGAAGGTGCTGTCCGCCGTGAAGGTGCTGCCCCCCCCCCCCCCCCCCCCCCCCC